TCTTTACAATCAAACATATTGTAAGTGGAGGAAACGCTAGTTATCTTTACAATCAAACATATTGTAATGGAGGAAACGCTAGTTATCTTTACAATCAAACATATTGTAAGTGGAGGAAACGCTAGTTATCTTTACAATCAAACATATTGTAAATGGAGGAAAGGCTAGTTATATTTACATTCAAACATATTGTTATGGTGTAAACGCATTTTACTGGCATGATTATAATTATACTTGTCATTTGACATTAATATTAGATTTATTATATTTTTAAACACTGCATTCTTTATCTATTCTTCGTTTTAGAATTTTGCCGTTTGTAAAAGGCATTTATACCATAACGGTAGTAACAAATGGTATATATAAATAGTGTTCTAATCACTACTATGTATATTGTATACCTGGCGGCTTGAAGAGTTCTGGATTTAGCGAAACGAGTCGTCGGCAATTGATGTGGCGAATATCGTGTGATTGGAATACAATTATTATACATTATTCTAATTCTTGCAAATCTCTAAGAGACTAGATAAAGAATGTAGTAATTAATAGGCCTAATACTAATGTCTTATGACAAGTATAATTATTTCAGCGTTGTTATGCACTGCGACGGACTGTAGCCTTAGATTTACGAAGAAAAGTACTCTCGCCAACAGTGAACTACTTAAAACTGTTTTGGATGATAATATTTAAGTAATTACCAATGTTTAAAATATATCATTGATATAAAAGTCTTTAACCGCTATTTCTATTCTGACAGTTATCATCCATTTGCATTTGGTTTCTAATCAGTTCGCTAGGTGTCCTTGTTTTTCTTTAATTGTAAAAGTATTTTCAAGTATGTTAATTTAAATCGATTTGAAATTCTGTATTCGTTTCCATCATCCTAGATGAGACCTCCTGAACCCGCGAAGCCTTGGTTCGTCATCATATAACACCTTCCTAAATGTATCGATGTAACTCTAAGTTGCAGGTCACGTACAGTTTTATTTTATTCGTTATTACATGACCTCTTTTTATATAAACTATAGCCAAAACAAAATTCGACAGGGTTAGTAAAAAAATAAATGGTTGCAAAAGATACTAAGCGTTTAAAAATAACAGCTCCCCACTTTTGTTCCCTGTAGTGTAATATCTTATGTCTTGCAGTACATGTTAAACAGGAAATACTAAACAAACATCTTAAGACGACTCGAGACTAGTAAATGTATACTAAGAATGCAGTTTTAACTGCTAAACTAGGTTAAGAACACTCGTTGTTAGTATTCTTGAGAGATTCATAAAATTAATTATTACAAATGGTATTTATTTTTACAAGATATTTACAAAATCTCTATTGTTTAGCTTCTATCAGTGTTAAGAAATACATAAACTTGCAACTTATAGATTTTCTATTAGAACTGTTGAAACAAATCTGGAAAAATGTATTTATAGTATAGTTTTCAACATATTGCTGCAAATCATTTTATAGTTTACAATATATATATATATACTATGTTATCAAAAGTATTAGACCTACACATCACCTACTTGGGATATACAACTCTTATGATACAGCTACTAAAGACAAACAATTAGAGTTAAAATGCCACGAGAAAATGGATTTAAATGTTTTCACTAATGTAAGATAAGTACGTAAGATATTTTAGCTAGCCCATACGAATATCCAAATTAATTGCAGGCTGAGGAAATGGAAGACCACTATATGTATCAATTTTGGAATATCGTACCAGTAATCCAAAACTATTCATTCATTGGTCCATACAAACTTTGAAATGTATTGTGAAACGATACCGCATATTCTGTATAATTCCTTTTGAGAACTTTAACGCAAATTCAGAAATGCTCGCCAGGTGCTTGACTATGTATAAGTAAATCTATGGTGCCACATTTTTATGGACGGATTGTAGGTCATAAGCCGTTCCGCACGGCTATGAGTGCAAGACATCGAATCTTATGGTTCCTTAAAACATCGAAATTGGGGTAAAAAATAATGGGAACTATTATTTGAGGTGGTCAATCAAACTACGCAATTTTTGTTTCGGATCACAAGTTTGAGTTTAATGGTAAAATGATTTCTTTGGATCTAACCACAGTCGTCGAGGTTTGTAGGGAATGTACCAAGTGTTGTCCTCACTTCCCACATCGGTGGAATTCTGTGGTTGTATGCCGTTTACATAAATCTAAATAGTCTGTGTTAAATTTGCAACGATCACTTTTAAGTTTCAGTTTATTTTTTTCATTATAATATATACTACAAATGAATTATACGATAAAAGCACATCTGCAGGATAGTTTATAATTGCAACTGTTTGTATTAATTCAACACTTAGAATTCAGTGCTTTAGTGAAACATTCGATTAAATAAAATAAATAAAAAAATAATTGATTGAATTATAAGTATTCCAGAACAAGTTAAACATTGTAGAAACCAAGAAAATCGATTGATTGTCAATATGATTTATCATTTGTACAATTGCGTTTTCATTTATGAAAATAAAAGTTTCTTAAATTCGCACAGTTATAAACAACATGCAAGTGTATGATAATACAACCATGCCATACTGAGCTTCGTGTCCACTAGTGATTCGATAACGTCTTCAATATGCCTTGGCCAGCTCAGAGTCCCGACCTGACTCTAGTGGAACTGCTGTAGGAAGTGTTTAGAACGTCTCTTAAAGAAGAGAACAACCCTGAAATCGCACTACTAGTGGTTAACATTGGGATCTTAAAAGAGGTGAAAGTCTCTTTTATGATCTACTTCGACATTCCAATTAGAATACCAGGAACGCTAACGCTCAAGAGGCGGAACACCATTTCAGACCGTTCTGCCCCAAATTAACTCCTTCTCACTCCGTTCAGGCAGTTATTCTCCAAATTAACTGTTCACTAAATTTAGAACTGCTTTGCAAGAGGAGTGGCGGCTTATTTAACCTGATGCGTATCAACTACTGTGGCAATTGTTAATAATAAAGTTCAGACTATGATTACCGCCAGAGGTAGGCACATACTTTATTAAAATGGGATCTCAGTAGCGTAACACGATATCTTATTTTTAAAGTATTGCGTAATAATACTTTTTGTTATATAGTGTACATTTATAAAGGGAAAATCAATAAAAAAAATCTACCTAATATTTATGAAAAGGGTAAAGGAGTTTCAGGTATTGTACATCCTAAAATAAAGACTAACCATCACTATAAAGTTAGATATCCATTGATTTTTCGTGTCTGTAAGTAAAATTCAGAGTAACAAAACTTTACAAGAATATATTTGTCCTTTTTCAGTCAAAAAATTGCATGATTCATTGCTTTCTCTCGTGAATGACATCTTCATCCTTGCAACCTTGCAAGAAGGCATCATTATTATACCATTTGATAAGAGACAATAAAACGAGGATTACGTGTTTCAAAATACATCTCATTGTAGGTTTCGTAGCAATATATGTTCTTATAGTCTTAATAAGCATACGCAATCTATCAAGAATTAAGAAAAAAGATACATGAAATAAATTTAACCATTGAGATTACAATTGCTATGTAATTTTCACTTTATCTTGATGTCTTTTGTGGCTTAGTTAACAAGTGAAGAAATAGTAACTAGATTAGTACGTCATACAATGAATCACACTTTAAGTTAATAGCATTAGATTAAAACAAATGATCCAGTTGTTCGATTCTTTACGTGACTATTAAGAAGTTTTCAAGGAAAAATGGTTAAAAAGTTTGTTAACTATTCAAATTCAAACTATCAAGTAAGCTGGGCCTTGTAAAAACCTTAAATAATAAAGTAAAATATTACTGTATGAGACGGAATAGTGGTCTACGTTTAACTGAACACATTTTATTCTGTCCTAAAAAAGGGAAAAACTGTAAGGAGAATACGAAAGTGCAAATGTGCTAGTAAACCACCAGTGATAGGGGTTCCTGGTTGCCAAGAACAAACTGTAAGTAAAAAGGAAAGTGGGCTGTGAAACAATTAAGGGAAAATCTGTAAAGCAAGTAATTCAAATACAATTAAACAAAAGCTATGAAGATCAAAGTTAATATTACAAACGCTTCAAAGTTTATGTTTTGAGTAATAATTTACCATCTTATGTTCTTAACCAAGATTTGTTTTATTTACATTTAAAGTTATTTGGTTTCCAACACTTTCTTCCGAATTTAATTTTTCTACTACGCATATATTATACCGATCTGATTTTGCTTCTTATGTATACCATATTTTTCTCTCGTTCATGAGTAATTTTTGTATATTTGAATTATCAGAAGAACGCTTTAAAGTTAGATAATATGTTAGCAAGAACAGATTTCAGCGCATAATTTTAAAACAGATGTAGCATTTTGCTTGTCTGTATATAAAAAATTGAAATCGAAAAGTAATAACAATTTACTAGTTTTTATAAACAGAGACTTTCTTCTCTGTAAATACCTTGTTAGATGTAAATAAAACACTTTGCGTTTTTCAAGATAGCCTATTTTCTTACCTTGCATTCGCTTTGCTGCTTCTTGGGTGTTGATGTCAGAGTTTATCCTTAGACCTATTTCATTACCTAATATAACAGAGTTTGTGTTAAACTGTTAAGTTCATTTTTGTAGCTTTAATAAGTACATATGTTCGCTAGCTAATATGTTATAAAACCTACATATATGATGTATACCGTTTACATATATCAAAATAGTCAGTGTTAAAGTTTCCAAAGTTTGCAACGGTCACTTTTAAGTTTTTCAGTTTGTTTTTTTCATTATAATGAATATAATAGAAGGATTATACGATAACAACACATTTTCAGGATAGTTTATAATTGCAACTGTTTGTATTCATTTAACACTTAGAATTCAGTGTTTTAGTAAAACATTTGATTAAATGAAATATATAAAAAAATAATTGACTGAATTATAAATATTCCAGAACGAGACAAACATTATAGCCATTAAGAAAGTCGATTGATTATTAAAATGAATTATCCTTTGTAAAGTTGCATTTTAATTTTATGAAAATTGCAGTTTCTCAAATTTTCACATGTATCAACAACATGGAAGAAAATTTTGTTACTAAAATTTGTCTGTCTGATAAAAATATGTAAATACTTAAATCCTTTAAGCTCTTTTACACGTTTTTAGTTATTACATGTGTTCTCAAAATAACTTTGCTGAACGTGTATAGATAAAAGATTTAAAGACAATTATGTGATTAAAGCCAAAAGTATATTTTCTATAGAATTCCTTATGTTCACAAACTACATTTATCTTTTATCACTAATATAAAGGAGGAATGTATAAAACTAAAAATCTTGATCTCTGAGGTCGTCAACACCTTGCTATATTGACCTGAAGCATCCTGTATAACAAGGTTATAGAAAAATTTCGTTAAAATCGTTGTAACAAGTTAAGATGGTGTTTTAAAAGCATAAGTGCAAGTTCTCATTGGTGAAAGGTCGATAATACTTATGTTTGAGACTATTCACATCAGCTTCCCTCTTGAGATATTTTTTTTATATTTTCTCTCTCTCACTTTATGTTATACGATTCATAAAGTCTTGTTTTTATCCTAAAACTATCCAATGGAACAAGCAGTGATTCACTAAACGAAAAACACTGGAAAGTAGAAAAATAAAGAAATTTGCAATTTTATTTTTTAAATATATTTATTTTCCTTTTCCGTGTTTTATTGAAATCATTAAAATTATATAAACCTGGAAATCAGTTTTAAACTTCGATGATGATTTTTTGTGTTTCAGTTCACAATCATTTGAAATTAAGACCTCAGTTTAAATTGATCGAAACTAAAACACCTGTCTTTCAATATTTTGGAATATTTCTCTGTGACAGACAGTAAGCTTCAGTAAACATTCCTTATTAGGAAGTGAATCATACAAATTTGATTCAGATCGGATACCAAAACCCATACCATGAGCACCTGAGGATTGGAGGTAAGAACTGGACTAGGATTCATCAGGCCAACAATCGATCAATTGTAGAAAATGCCTCCAAATGAACCCTTTCACAAATAAAATTTACTCCAAATATGCTGTAATGTTAAAATATTAGATTTAAATCTAATAATTTCCAACTTCGTTTTCCAATCTAGTAAAAATAGAATGAACTATATTAATCAGTTATTTTGACTTCGAATTTTTTTTTCTACTTATACACTTCTTCCAGTAGATGTTTTAATACTGAAAATTTTTTCAGCTTCTGCTATTTGTTTTAATTTTAAAGTAATGTTTGTTTTTAATTTCGCGCAAGGCACACAGGGTTATCTGCGCTAGCCGTCC